CCCCCCCCCCCCCCACCGCCGCCGCCGCCTCCTCGGCTTCCTCCTCCTCCTCCTCCTCCTCCTCCTCCTCGGCTCGAGGAGCCCAGGGCACGTGGGGGCCGTTCTGCCAGCCCCCAGACCCTACTGGGCCCTCACTATCTGGCTGTGTCCCTTGCAGCAGGGCCACAACGACCTCAGGCTGGGGCAGCTTGGAGATCTTGAAGTGCTTCTTGTAGTGGGGCGTGTCCTTGCGGATGAGCCGCTGCCTCTCACCCGGCACGGGCCAGGGGGCCTCCAGCTGCCCCGCCTCGCTCTCGCCATCCTCCCTGGGCAGGAGCAGCGTGTCCTCCGCGAAGCGCACCGTGGGCTGCGAGAGGCCGAGCGAGAGGACGTCGGTCTGGCCCACCCCCACTCAGGGGCCCAGGGAAGGTGGCAGCAGACAGGGGCTCTGAGAGGCTCCCCGCCGCTCGGATCAGAGAAGGATGGGGATCGGGGGTCCAGGAGGCTCTGCCCACCCCGTGTGCTGTGCTCTCAGCAGCCTGACGCTGGGGTGCCCGTCAGGGCCACGACAAAGGTCCCTGGGGGGTCTGGGAGCAACCCAAAAGGGGGATGTGAGGCCGTGACGGATATGGGAGGGCAGGGCCCATGCCAAACCTGGCCATGGGGTGGAGGCCCTCACCCCCAGGCCCTCGCCCCTGCCTGGGGCAGCAAGGCTCCTGCTGGGCTCCACATAGGAAAGAACACACCTGCGGGGCCCACCTGTACCTTGACTGGTCCTGACAGCAACCTGCTTGGGAAGGAGGAGGGGCAGGGGGAGGCAGGCCCACCCCTGGACAAGCAGCCTCCAAGGCCAGTCTCACCTCCTCATAGATCTCCTCTGTGACTTCCTCCTGGGAGGTTGGCGTGGATTCCAGCTGGCTCGGCCCCACCACACCACCCATCCCTCGGGCTCACCCTGGGAGGCTGTGCTGGCAGACAGGTGCGAGTCCGCACTCAGGCCAGACTCGGTGCTCAGCCTCTTCTCCTGTGGCGGGGTCAGGTGGTGGGTCAGGCCACCTATCGGGGAACCCCACACTGCAGGCCACCCACCCTGGGGCTCCCTGCTGCCTGACCACAGCACCTCGTGGGCTCCCCCCTCCCAGCTGCCCCTTCCCTGCAGGGAGTGAAATCTGTGCTCAGCCCTCTGGGGTGCCCACTGTCCCACCCCCAGGGAAGCCACACGCCACCAAACAGCTACGGGCACACAAAACCACTGCTCTGTGTTGCAGACCCCAAAAGGTCTTTCAAGTACCCAAGATAACACCAGCACGGGGAAGGACAGGCACCCCAAAGTGAGCACGCCTCTGCAGATAAGCTGTGGCAGCTTCCCAAGGTGGAAGGCTCTGTGTCACAGACACAGGCCCTGCCACTTGTCCCCCAGGCACCAGATGCCCTGCTGTACCCCAGGGGCCCTAAAGCTTCCCCTAGCCCTGCTGTCAAAGCTCCTGAATGAGTAGAGTTGGGCCTGCCTGGTTCTTGCCCTAGCCCCCTTCACAGAAGCTGACAACGTAAGCGCCCAAGAAAAACGCCACAGGGAATGGGTCCACTACTCAGTTCCCTCTGCCAAGGACCCAGCTGCTTCTGGCTCTTTTCATGTAGCTGCCCGCACGTCCAGGCCACACGACCCCCGTGTCTGCCCGGCAGCCCTCGGTGGAGGCGGCCTGCTCTGCGGAAAGGTGTGGGCGCTTGGCCCTGAGCCCCACCACTGCAACCTGGCGCCTCTCCTGGCCGGTTCCCCATGCCCACACAGGGCCCCGGAACCCTGCACCCAGCCTGGGGCTCCCGAGCAGGAGAGCCTGTAAGGCGGGCATCCCTCCCACGCCCCGCGGGTCCCCCCAGGCACCTCCTCCGAGGGCGGGGGTGAGGGTGAGTGCTGTGCGGAGTCGGGCCTGCAGGAGGCGGCTTCGCTTCGACGCTCTACACCCCTCTTCATCACTTTGAGCTCGCTGGGGTGAGGCGTAGCCCGACGCTGCAGGCCCTGCAGTGGGCACAGGGGTGAGGGGCGGGGCGGGGCCGGGGTCAGGCAGGGGTGGGGAGGAGGGAGCCCCCCGGGGACCCCACCCCCCCATACCCGTTTCTCAGCAGCAGCTTCCTCTGCGTCCTCGTCGCCCACGGGGGCCTCCAGGAACTGGATGACGCTAACGCGGCCGAGCGGGGCATCACCCCAGCTCTCCGAAGGGCTGCTCCGTGGCCCCGGGTCCTCTGCGGAAGCGCGCGTCAAGGGGAAGCCCCTCCCCACCCGAGGCCACGCCCCCCCCCCCCCCCCCCAAGAAAAACAAAAAAAGCCACTACCCAACATTACACACTGGGGGAAGACACCAAAAACAATGGGAACTATGAACCTGGCCTGTGAAAAGGAGACCCCAAACACAGTAAGTTAAGCAAAATGAGAAGACAGAGAAATATGCATCAGATGAAGGAGCAAGGTAAAAATCCACCAGACCAGACAAATGAAGCGGAAATAGGCAGTCTACCTGAAAAAGAATTCAGAGTAATGATAGTAAAGATCCAAAATCTTGGAAAAAGAATGGAGAAAATACAAGACACAAGGACATAGAAGAACTAAAGAGCAAACAAACAATGATGAACAACACAATAAATGAAATGAAAAATTCTCTGGAAGGAATCAATAGCAGAAAAACTGAGGCAGAAGAATGGATAAGTGACCTAGAAGATAAAATGGTGGAAATAACCACCACGGAGCAGAATAAAGAAAAAAGAATGAAAAGAATTGAGAACAGTCTCAGAGACCTCTTGGACAACATGAAATGCAACTACATTCGAATTTTAGGGGTCCCAGAAGAAGACGAGAAAAAGAAAGGGTCTGAGAAAATAATTGAAGAGATTACAGTCAAAAACTACCCTAACATGGGAAAGGAAATAGTCAATCAAGTCCACAAGCTCAGAGAGTCCCATACAGGATAAATCCAAGGAGAAACACACCAAGACACATATTAATCAAACTATCAAAAATTAAATACAGGGCTTCCCTGGTGGTACAGTGGTTGAGAGTCCGCCTGCCGATGCAGGGGACACAGGTTCGTGCCCAGGTCCGGGAAGATACCCCAAG